GGCTCCTGCTACCATAAAGCGGAGGCTGTGTCACTGCGGCGCTCCGCCGGCCTTCAGAGGGCGGCTGGCTGGTCGGCCGACGAACGGACCGGACGGGAGGCAGAGGCTGGTCCCGGTCCGGCCTCTGAGATCGAACACACCGGTCATGACGTGCAGCTCGCCGACCGGCCGGCGGGCAGACGGTCAACAGCCTCTGCACCGGCGGCGGGCCGAGCAGGCGGACCGGCCAGTTAGTCAGCCAGACGCCCGACCAGCCAGCCAGCCCGAGCGGCCGCCAGAGCCGATCGCAATCGCGGCCTCGCGCCACTTCCAATTAGACATCTGCATCCGGCTCCGACCGCAGGCCGGCCCGGCAGACCCGCGGACGCCGCCGATACATCGCCGGCGACCTTTGGCGGCCGGCCAGACTCCCACTGGATATCGATGGGCGCGATGACCTGTCGTGCCCGGCCACTCCGAGCCGAGGCGCCGGCCGCGGACACCCCCGGCGGGACATGGCCGCCCGCTGCGCCCACAGCGTCCACCGCCGCGCGCCAGACGTCTAAATCCTGGCCGGCGCTGCGCGGGGAGGCGATTAATTTCGCCAGGAGTAACGGTGTGCCAGCCACGCCGCGCTGCACTGCATGCTCTGCAACACCTGACGCCCGGTAACAGCCGCGCCGGCGCGGCGGCGGGCGGGCGCCGGGCGGAGGTGGCAGTCTGTCCGGACGCTGCCCGCCCGCCCGCGCCGCTGACCTGCCGCAGAAGGCAGCGCGCCGCGGCTTCGGGGCGGAGCGGCGACACGAGCTGCATCTGAGAATGGGTTGGCCCGGCGGCGTCCCGCTCCTCTCATGGCTGTGGGCCACGCCGCACGATCATTCATAACCCACTGTTAGAGCGGCCGGTGGAGCTGATCGAACGCTAACCACGTCCACGGCGGGCTGACCCGGCCCAGAGAGGGGCAGACCGACGTCTGCCGCCGGGCCACTCCCGGGTCACCGGCGGCCGGCGCGGGTCGGTCGGCTACCCCGCCAAGGTCACCCCGTCGGCCGGCAGAGGAGGAGGAGGAGCCGCACCCGCCGGCAGCCGCCGTCCGCCGGCCGTCGGCGGGCCTCCCTCTGGTAATCTCTCGGCATTAGGGAGCGGTTCGTCCACGGCGGCCGGCGCTGCTCCTCTCGGCAGAACACCCGGAAATCCCTCCGGACCGGCTCACTCCTCTCCCCGACTCCGTGCTCGAGATGTTCGGCTCGTCCCGACCGTGAGGATCCTGGTACAGACCGCCGTGTGCTCGGCTTCCCGGCATTTCTGAGCCGAACGGCTCATCAGCGCATACCGCGCTCAGACCCGTCCCGAGCCCTAAACGGTCCCGGAGAAACCGCGTTAGCATATCCATCGGCCCGAGGTGCCGGCCGCGCCTGATGCGGCTCGGTTTACAGCCCTCTGATTGGTAAACAAACAAACATAAAACACGCGGCCAAAAGGCCGAGTGCCGCGCCACAACAAACCCCGATCGGCCCGCTCTGGACATAACTTCTCCCCAATGCGGCCGCGATCCGGAACAGCCTCGACCCTGCGCCGGAGCTCTCGACTGGTGGAAAATCTCCGGGCTCGGGAGGCGGAGGGCGTGCTGGTGGGAGGGTATGACACAGCACATGTCACACGGACTGGGACGACACGGCAGCGGAGGCGGCGCCGGCGGCCGGGGTCGTTCGTTGACCCGTGGCCATTGAGACGCTCTGGGGCGCACCTGCCCGCCTCCCGAGCCGGCAGCGCGCCGTATAAACCCGGCACGGAGCGCTCATTTGCAATCCGCCGCCGCCGTCTGCAGACTGCAGACGGCCGGCGGCGGAGCTGGCTGGAGAGCCGGCGGCTCGGACACCCGGTCGGCGGGTCCGAGTCGGTCCGACGCGGCCCTCTGCAGCCGCGGCCATCCATCGCCGGATCAGGCACCGCCCGACACTGGCCTGTCCTAAGCATACCTCGACCATAGCACCAGTGCTGCCGTGTCTCGGGAGCATTACACGGCAGTCTGGTCCGCGCCAGCTCAGGTGGCCGGTCCCGACCGCGTCCGGTCATGGGCCTTCTGTTAGCGCCGCTCCACATTTACCGACAATGGTACCAATCGCGGCTTACCGCCGACCAGAGTAATTGCGGCGCCTCTGAGGCGGCCGCCGCAGTAACAGCGCGTCGCCTCTCTAAGAGGCTTACCGATACGTCCCACCAGATGAGACGCGGATAAAACGGCACCGCACGAGCAGCGCACTTCACACGTCCGCGTGCGTTCACGCACACACGCTCGGAGCGCGGCCGGGCTGCGTAAGTGCTCGGGGCCGATGACCTCCTCCGGCGGACACGACATGGAGGCAATCCGCTGATGGAGGCTCCGTGACGCTCACCGGGCGGGAACAGTTTGATGGCGTCGGCAGAATGTATTTCACGCCGCGCGCCGCCGCTGAAAGACGGCACCACTCTGCTGACGCCGGACAGAGGCAGCCGCTTTCGCCGGCGCCGCTGAGCGCCCTCCATTGACGGTGTTGTCCAGCGCCGCCAGCCAACGGTGCCGACTCGGCAGTCCGGTCAGCCGCCGCCTCACGTGCGCCGGGTGCGGCTGACCCGGGGTCGGCGGACCTGACCGGCCGCAGAGCGGAGCTCAGCGGCGCCGATCGTCTGCCGAGCAGAGGGCGCGGCCGATTCATAGCGCTCTCCCCAGGCGGTCCTCGGTATCAGCCGCTGACGTAGCACAGGCGAGCATCGCTCGGGCAGCCGAGTACAGACGTGTACAAAGCCGCCTGGCGGTGACCTGGCGAACTGCGGTCCGGGTCACAGATCCACAGTCTGACCCGGAGTTGGGCGGCATGACCGGAGCGTCCCGCAACGTACCATGTGCCGATACCCGCGTGTTGTCGGTCCGGCCCGGAGTCCGAGCCGTGCCTGCCGAACTGTGCCGCGCCGGGCCGGGCCGCGCACGTGTCTCCATTGTGCGGCGTTGATCGATCTCGTACGGCCGCCTTTGTACGCCGGCCGGCGGGCGGTGAGTGAAGGCCGCTCCTCCTCCACCGGTAACGGTGCGCGGCCGGCCCGCGCAGAGCCGCACCTGACCCAGTGTCGGCCGGGACGTGCGCGCAATTACCACCATTACTGAGCGCGGTACACGGCCATAGGGCACCGGGCGGCGCGCGGCGCGCCCGAAGTGGGCCGGCCGAGCCGCGCCGATCGCGCGCCGATCGCCGCAGATGCTCCGGATCTGTCCAGAGCCGCCGTTCGACAGGCGTCCCGTCACGCATACGGTCTCAGGCGGCGCTGCGCTCGGCGCAGATGGACTGTGCGTTAGAATAGCCGCACGCCGCGCCGGAATAGGCGCCGTATGCGCCGACACGCCGCTCGCGCTGCACCAGTTGTCACGCGCCACCGGCCGCCGCGGGGCGGACTAAATGCTCCACTGCCCGGATCACGCGTGTCCGTATCACACACCGAGCGGCGCTGATGCAGGTCGCCGGAGCCGACATCCTGTGAAACGATCAGCTGAGACAGAGCGCCACATCAGAGGCGCCCCAGCTCTCTCCGCAAAGGCAGCCGAGCCGGGTGGTCCCGCTGACCCGATATTGTCCGAAACGGTATTGTTTACGACCGCGCGCCGCACGCGGGGACAATCAGGCGACATTCCAGCCCGGCGGGGTCCTCCTCCACTCCGGCCGGCGGGCGACATTTCTGGAACTCGGCGGCGGGCCGGGAAAAGGAGGAAAACCGCGCGCCGCGGCGGCTCGCTGGCGCTAATGCCGCGCCATAACGGGCCGCCGGCCGGCGGAAACCCTGGCCGTGTTTCCGACGCCGAGGCCAGGCCGGTGATTCAGAGACTCGGAGCCGGTGTGTATGTGTGAGCAGCGGACTGACTCACACGGGAAACCGCGGCCTCCCGGCAGCCGGCCCAGTGACTGACGAGCCGGCGGACCGACCGATCAGCCGGGGCCGGCCGGGGGCGGGGGCGGACCGGCCGGCGAGCCAGGGTGCTCCCCGACGTCCGGCCTGCCGCCGGCGCACCGCGGGCGTCATGCGTTCTGCTCATCAGGTGCGTGAATCACCGGCTGGAACACACCCTATTACGACACACCGACCGGCCGTGAAATGGGCCCGCCATGGCGGCGGCGGCAGCGAGAAGCGCAGCCTCCCCGGCCGGCCGACAGATGGCAGTGCTCTGCAGAGGCCATTCACACGGAGCGCCGGCCAGGTCGTGACGGCCGCGGGCCGCCGTTAATTTGGACATGGGAGCGGCCGTGGCGCGGCGTGGCCGTCCGGTTCCTCCCCCACCACAGTTTGGTCCACTCTGACCCGGCTGAGGCCCGGCACTGCCTGTGCCCTCCGGGACAGCCCCTGGCCGCCTCTGCGGCGCAGCGCAGCGACCCTGGCGGAGGTCACCGGGGGGCGTGGACGGCCGTCCCTTACCGAATCTCCCGGAGCTCACGAACCTCACGAGCCTCACGAGTCACGTGCCCCCGCCGCGTGATGTCAACTGGTGGCGTTTGGTGACGCCTCCCGCAGTCCGGCCGGCCGGTCCGCTCACATCGGCGAGTGAGCATGGCCGCGTCACAAAAAAAAAACTCCACGCGAGCGCGGCCGGCGCTATCAGGCGGCCACGGGCGGCGTATGAAATCACCGAATTAGCATAGCGGCCGCTCTGTCCGGGTGCGGCCCACAAAGACAAACAGTAGGGGCGCTCTACCGGCGGAGCCTACAGCGGTGGGAGGGGCGGCGCCCGGCCGAGAGACGCTAAAGGACCGGTCAAGTGTTACGATTCTGGCCTGGTTAGTGCTGGTCAGGTCTAGTCACATTCACACCCACACGCACAGACATAAACGCCACGTAAAGCACACGCCTTTAACACTCAGACACAACAGGGGGCAGACAATGACCACGCTCCTTTTAGGGAGACCCAGGGACCCTCAGAGACCCTCTGTGACCTGACATGGCCCCTCCGTGACCTGACATGACCCCTCCGTGACCTGACATGACCCCGCGGAACCCACCTGCTGGACCGGCCGTCGTCGCCGCTCCGCTCCGGCACCAGGGTGCTGCCGGAGTGGACAGAGCCTGGCTCAGAGGCCTCGGAGACGGAGGCGCGCCGCGCCGGCTCGCCGCCCAGCCGGCTGGTGTCCACGCCGATCAGGTACTCCTCGGTGAGGTACTGCTGCAGCGCCGGCCGGCCGGGCGGCTCCGCCCGACGCTCCGTCAGCGTCTCGGCGCTCTCACTGCGCAGCGACAGGCTGGCGTAGTCGGCCTCCGAGTAGGGCGACGTCTCGTAGCCCGAGTCCTTGGTGAGTTTGCGCGCCGAGCGACGCTCCTTATCCCGCTGCAGGGGCCGGCCGGGCTCGTCCCGGCCCCCGCTGCCGCTGGCCGTGATGACGCCGCCGCCGCCGCCGCCGGAGCCGTTGACGACGTTCTCGTAGGTCGGCGGCGGGTCACCGCTCAGGTCCGTCGGCAGCGCGTCGCTGTCGAGGCTGTCGCGCCGCCGCGCGTCGTCCGACGCGACGCTGCGCTTGCTGACCTTGTCATGGAAGCTGTGCGAGCGCTCCGTCTGCTCGGCGCGCGCCTTGGCCTGTTTGGCGCGCCGCCGGTTCGCCTTGCCCTCGCTGTGATAGTGCGGGTTGGAGCGGTCCGGAGGGGACGCGCCATCGCCGGCCACGTCGCCCTTGCCGGCGCGCAGGGCCCGCAGAAATTTGGTGGCCGACTGCAGTTTGGTGGACTCGCGCCGCTGCGGCGGCCGCCGGCGGCTGGGACTGACCTCGGTCACAGGCTCGGCCACCTCGTCGTCCACCACCTCACACGGCTGCTGCAGGTCCTGCGAGCCCCTGTGGAGAGAGAAGATAAGCGGTCAGAGACGGCGGACGGGTCACTCGGCGCGGACACGTTCCGTGAAATGTTCGTGTTGCGTCAGGGCCAGTGGCTGTATCTGCTGTATCTGCTGTGTAGGCCGTGTCGGCTGTGCAGTCACGAGGAGGGGTGGTTTAGGGTTCACGAAGGACGGTCAGAGGTCCTCCCACGGAGGGAGCCCGGGAGAGCACGCCGCTGTGCCGCCGGCCCTCCGTCACGGAGGAGGCGATAAGTCACGGTGTGCCGGGGTGCGGTTCTCGGGAGCGAGTGCTGACGCCGCCGGCGCCACCCACGGTCAGCGAACACACGCCGGCGCCGAATGGGATATGGCCATTAGCGCCGACACGGGAAATCGGGCCGGCAAGGTCAGCACATGCCGCCTGTTCCGCCCACGGTCAGACGCGGGGTCCACCGACACCCCAGCTGAGGCTGCAGCCGCCCAGGTGGGCAGGACAACCCGGCAGAGGCTGCAGCCGCCCAGGTGTGCTGGACAGCCCCGATAGAGGTTCCAACCGCCCAGGTGGGTCGGTGTACCCCGGCAGAGGCTGCAGTGACCCCGGGTGAGCACTAAACAATACCTCCGTGGGGCAGGCACATCACATGCAGCAGTCAGCATGTCCTGCGGCCGGTTCAGCTCCCCGTCCATCCGGAGCCGGTCCGGTTCAGCTCCCCGTCCGTCCGGAGCCGGTCCGGAGCAGCTCCCCGTCCGTACGGAGCCGGTCCGGTTCAGCTCCCCGTCCGTACGGAGCCGGTCCGGTTCAGTCCGTCCGGAGCCGGTCCGGTTCAGCTCCCCGTCCGTACGGAGCCGGTCCGGTTCAGCTCCCCGTCCGTACGGAGCCGGTCCGGTTCAGTCCGTCCGGAGCCGGTCCGGTTCAGCTCCCCGTCCGTCCGGAGCCGGTCCGGTTCAGCTCCGTCCGGAGCCGGTCCGGAGCAGCTCCCCGTCCGTACGGAGCCGGTCCGGTTCAGTCCGTCCGGAGCCGGTCCGGAGCAGCTCCCCGTCCGTACGGAGCCGGTCCGGTTCAGTCCGTCCGGAGCCGGTCCGGAGCAGCTCCCCGTCCGTACGGAGCCGGTCCGGTTCAGCTCCCCGTCCGTCCGGAGCCGGTCCGGTTCAGCTCCCCGTCCGTCCGGAGCTCCGGGGGAGGCGCGCGGTGACGTCAGCAGCGACCAGTGCCGATCGGCCGGCCGGTGGCCATGATCGATCCGCTGCAGGTGGACCGGCGTGTCGCCGCCCTATCGCCGGCCCATCGCGGCGATAAAGATGACAATCGCGGTGGCCTTGCTCCGACGGTCATGCTCGTTTGGAACAGCAAGGCAAACAAGCTGTAAAGAGCCGCAGGCCCGGTGCACACTGAGCCCGCCTCCCGGCGCCCGCCGAACAAAGCGCGATTACCATACACTACCGTGCAGCAGCGCGGCCGGATCAGCGCCGACATTCCCGAGACGCGATGTCAACATTCCATTTTACAAGGAGCGCTGGAAAGTGGCCGGCTTTGCAATGCGCCTATCGTGCCGGCCTGTCCGGCGGTTCTCGTGTTTGGGACAGAGCGTTCGTGCAGTCACCGTACAATTAAGGCTGTCGGTCCATGGCGGCACAGATTCCGACCGAGCGGAATCCGCATTCGAACTAACCTGGCCCCCTTTCTTATTTCGCACAAAATCTGACAAAGGCTGAAAAATGATCGCCGCTTGCCATTTGAGAAGCAGAGCGGCTTCATTTGGCCGCGTCGCGAGGAAGCCGCCCGGTTCGTCGCGAGGAAGCCGCCCGGTTCGTCGCGGCGCGATGGTCTCCCGCCGGTCCTCGGACCTTAGGCGCGGCCCTCGGCCCGGGGGGGGAGGGTGGGCGGGTCCTCGGATCTGACGCGGCTCGTGACCTCAGACGCAGCCCGCGGCAGCTGCTAACCGGCCGATGGAGGCTGCTGGAGAACATCACACCCACCCAGCCGGCCGTGGCCGACCGGAGCCAACTCACAGCGGCCCGTCTGCCACCGCCGCACCTCCGCTTCTCAGCAACAATAGGACAATAAGACGGGCGACTGGGTCTCTCGCGGCTGTCACCTCCTTCGACAGCGGCCGCGCGGCTCGTGAGACCGCTCCGGGATGGAGGCGGTCCGTGACGAGCGGCCGTGGTCGGTCGTGACGGGACGCCCCCGACCGACCGCTCCTGGCCGCTGACCACTGGCTGCTGACTGCTGAGTCTGCGCCGCTGCTGACGGCAGTGCCGACCTCTGAAGGTCAGTTGCAGACGGCACCAGCCTCCCCCAAACGGCGGCACCGGCACTGGTCTCAACGAAACCCGTTTGGACGCGGCAAATATCAACAATATCGGGACAGATTCTGTAGCTCAGATCCGCGCCGCTTGCCGTCAACATCTAATAATAGAAGATTGGATCATAGGGGCGCCAAATCCAGCATCACGGAGACTTAGCGGGGAGGTTCGCTAATGACGGCTGAGCCGCAGATGTAGACGGTCATGGCGCGGCGGCAGCGAGCGGCGCTGCACCTCTCGGCTGGTTTACGGCGGGCGGAGAGGAGGCCGACCGGCCGGCCAGACTCTCCCGGGGCGCACCTCCCGTGCACGGCCGTTTATGACCCGGCCCAGCGGCGGCCGCGGTCGGCACTGGCGCCGGCCCGGTGCACCTTCCGGGTATAACTGCCTGGCCCGACCGACCAGCGGAGTCCCTAGAGAAGTGCACCGGACCGGCGGCGTCTCCGGGGAGGTGTACCGGACCGACCGGCGGCGTCCCCGGGGGCCTGTACCGTCTGACGTACCGCGGCTCCGCCGGCCAACGCCCACCGGTCCCGACATCTACATACACAGCCAAACTGACGCGTCCGAGGAAATGGTGAGCTGAAACGGCACAGCCGACAGCGGGAGAAAACTGCAGCAACCATATGAAAGCGAAACTTTTAAATCAAACCAAATGCGCAACGTTTCACCATTTTAAGCCTGGCTTGGGTCAGGTCACTATTCTAAGGTCATCCTTGGGCCGATAAGTAGCGTTCCTCGCTCCAGATGTGCCCCGTTCGACCCCAGCGGGGTATGGCCTTCAGAGTTCACAACTCTCTCGGACGGCGTGCAGGTCAGACAGCCGTAACGGCCGTAATCCGCGGGAGACGCCCCTCCGATCGCCGACACGGAACACACACTGACGGGTGCGACAGCGCCGCCGGCCCGGGTAAAAGTCGCCCGTCTGTTCGGACGCGCCAGCCAAGGCCAGCCACCGCATCACGTCATCGTATCACTGATGAAAGCTGCCTTAACCGGCCGACAAGCAGCCAATCGTTTGGATTTTTCCAGGCCTACGGTCGGTTGCGCCCGGTTTGGATGAGACGATAACAGAGCTATTCGCCCAGCCCAAGGTTTGGCACAACTTGTTACATGGAGTTGGATTCCATTACCAAATACGCCCGTATATCCTGGCTGGAGTTCCTGTTTTTCCGCGATGGAATTAGAGGGCAATCCTTTCGCTGACCCTGTGGGAGCGGAGTTGGTTATGGAGACGCCATTTAATTACGGCCCCTTCCGATGGCCCCCGGTCGGTGGGTGCCATGGCGTACTTCCGAGTGCACGGGCGGGGTTTCGCCGGCGGAGGCGGCCGATGGCGGCCGGATGACGGCCGGATGACGGCCGGATGACGGCCGGATGACGCCGCTGGCGCACATCCGGCGCCGCCGGGACCCACCGGCCGCCGCCGGTCGGGGGAGGGGGGGGGGGGGCACGCATTCCTCGCCCGGTCGCCGCGGGCCGCCGGAGGTCGGATGACCGGCGCTCAAGGGCGCCGTGCAGTGCCGTGCCGTGCCGTGCAGGCGGCACAGGCGCGCTGACGCACGGTGGAAGCTGATATCACGCCCTGTGCCGGCCAGCCGGTGTCGGTCCGTCGCCGCCTGGGTGGCCGGCCGGTCATGAGGACCCTGACAGCTGAGGGCACTGTTGTGGTCCACTCAATTGCCGTGCCGGAATGCCGCGGCCGAAATGGCCGGCTATATGGACGTATCAAGGTGTGGGTCATGCCGAGCATGCCATGGCCCATGAAAGCTCAGCTACCTGGGTGGTCTACCGGAAGGCTGCATCATAACTAAAGTCTAAACTGCAGCCAGTAGAAAGCAGCCGAGGACGAACACACATGGTAACCGGGCTCCGTTCATGGCAGGGCCGGCGAACGGCCGACCGGTTTAGCCGACGCCGAGGCTTCCACAGAACCATGTAGATGGGGCAGCACGCAACTGCTGTGCCGTCCTGGGCCGCTATCGGTGCATCGGTGCACTTTTCCAGCGGCCGACGGGCGAGGACAAAACAGCCGCCGTGCCGTTCACAGTTCACACCGAATGGAAGGCCGACCGCCGGCCACGCCGTGTCCTTCCAGTGCATTATCCTACCGAGCGGCGAGGGAAATCCGACCTCGGCAGGCGGCGGCCGAGTGTGAACTCCGAGCAGGGTGGGAGCGGCACAGCCGGCACACACGCCACGGACCGGACCAGAGCAGTGGACCACGCCGGACCAGGGAGGGCTGGACCGAACGGGGTGGACCGCACTGGACCAACGGGAGCTGAGTCGAGCGGCTGGGACGGACGGGGTATTGGGATGAAACAGACCGGCGGGGGATAGCAGGCCGGCCCGACCCGAACCCTTGGCCAACCCCCACCGGCCAACCCAACGAATCCTAACAGCCGCCCCTCTAAGCCCTCTGATCCCTGTCCGACATATACCCGACACAGTGCCGCCCGAGCCGATTTCAAATCGATTACCGCATTGTGAAACGAGATCAGCGCGCGATTGGCGCCGACCCGAGGGCCTATCGGACAATATGTTTCACGGGCCGCTGCGCGATTCAATTAAAAACAGATTATTGTCATCGATATGGCGGCCACCGCCGGTAGGTACAGCGCGAACGAATCGGAGACCCATCGCAAATATGGCGGCGGCAAACGAAGGAGAAAGCATCAGAAAGTGAAGGGGACAAGCGAGATTACGGGGGCG